ACCTCCGTTGGACTCTTTCCAATTTTTCCACATCTTGTTATGGCTTTGTCTGCCAAATGAAAGAGCCCTCTATCCTTAGAAATCGTCTCCCCACTTATAGATCATGACCACAACCTGCTTTTCAGTGCTTGTTAACACTTCAAAAATATCTGGAGCCTCTTAACAAGCCAAACCTAGCAGCAGCCAAGAGTGTTGTGAAGACTGGGCCCTTATGGGGTTAGTGCTGTACATTGCCATGTGGGAGGACCTGTAAATGTCTCACAAAATAGGAAATACACATATAACCCTCTGTAGCAATATTTCTTTTAGAGTGTTGGCCGATTATTAATAAGCCTTTGTGTTGTTAACTAGAGATGGTTGAAAATCTCATTTTTTTCCAGAGAAAAATTCAATTTTCAGTGGAACTCTGAATACCGAAATATTTTAATTTGGAAATGCTGACTCATAGGAGTTGTCATTCCTGTGCCTCATTGCCCCACTTTTTCTCTGTAGGCCAGGAATCCTGGTCAGACATCTCCTATGGTGCACCATGGTCCTTCCTCTTGGAAATGGATGCAGTGCATCATGGGAGTCCATGGCACATGATGGGAGATGTAGTCCAGCCAAGGAACTCAGCCTCCAGAGGAGAATGGGGATATGTGGCAACTGAACTACAAATCCAATGAAGCACCACAGCAGCATAGCTGAATTGTAATATTTCTAGTTTAGAGCTTTCTGTTTTTTTATGAAAACTTGAAGTTCTGTGAAAAGGAGACCCTTTCCACACCCACAAATATCCACTTAATGGAAAACCCAATTTTCCAGTGAAAAACAGTTTTGATGGAAAATTTTTGGCCAGCTCTTTTGTAAATGTTTTTGGGTCTGATCCCATGCCTTTGGCGTTAATGGGAATGTTTCCTTCACTTCAATGAGAGCAACAGCAGAGCCTTTGTGCCTCTATCGACCCTAGGATAATCAGTTACACAGCTCTGGAAAATTCCATCCGGAAAACTGAAAGATCCAGAAAGTTAAAAGTATCTGGAAAACGAGGGGTGGAATGGGAAGACTTGAGCTCCTTGGTTGAGATTTTAAAAGCCAACAAGATGGTTGTTATGAAATTAATGGGAGTTGTGTGGCTGAATCCTTCAGTCAGCTTTTGAAATCTCAACCCTTATCTTTGGGTGTTGCTAGTGCTCTAATTATAGCTCCATGCGAAGGACAAAATCATGACAGGGACTCAAAAGGGGTTGAGCAATAGGTAACTCAGATTCCTACTCCGCATAGTCTAGTGACTAATTCTAGGACCAGTGTTATTACCTATGGCTTAATCTGGGCCAATCACTCTTTTCTGCAGCATCTTCATCATCATGGCAGCACCAGGAAACACGGCCAATGGGGTGCTTCTGTTCATGCCCCCAAACAGTGCTGGCATCATCCACCAAGACCAAGGAGTCTCCGGTGCCATTTCCCAGAATCCTGAGATGATGCAATGTGGGCCTCAGCAGTTCACAGTCATGAACCCTGGGAACCAACCTCTTGGGTCAATGTACCCCGGGAGTCCCGCTGAACAGGTTGCGCAGCTAAGGAAAGTAGGGATGATGGAGATATTCCTCAAAGCACAGCCCAAGACCCTGGGGGTAAGTGTGATCTTTGCTCTCAGTCCATGAGAATTTCAATATCGAAGGGCCTGAACAGGTAGGTGAACTCCAGATTCCACCCTTTTCTTTTTTACTTTAATGATCAGCTTTATGGGAAGGATGCCAAGAAACTGGTACCATCAGGCCTCCTCTTGAAACTTCATTGCTTTGTAAGGGGCAGTGGATGGAAATACACCCAGAATTCCAGGGGCAGTGAATCCTCCTAGCTACCCAAACAGGGAGAAATGAAGAATAATCAAGCAAAGGAGAAACGGGGAAAAGGATTATAAACCAGCTATTTCTTGAACTAATGGAATGAAACAGTGCCATCTTGGGGAGGATAGGATGGCTATTCAACTGGTGTAAATCGATGCAGCTCCATTGTGCTAATTCACTCTGGCCAAGGATCTGGTCTGAGAAGAAGCAGTTCAAACCTAGGGTCCCACTCCTAGTTACTGCAGTGGAGACCTGGTTCCATTCCCCTTGCACTGCTAGTGAAATCAACCAACCAGCAACTTCTATCCATCAGTCTACATGGATAAGCCCATGATTGGTTATTTACAATTATATAGATAAATAAGCAAATGAGTTAACAGATTTGAAGTCCAGAAGGGACCACTGACCTCCTGTATATCACAGGCCAGAGAACCTTCCTGCTGAGGGGACCATTGCGGGGGGCAGGGAGGTTGACATTTTTTCAATGGGAAATGTAGTTCCCACAAAAATCAAAGATTTCCATTGGAAAAATCAAAACAAAATATTTTGGTTTTGGGTTGGATCTTCCCAAATCAAACTACCTCAATTTATCAAACTGAATTGAAATGTTTCCTCTCAGGTCAATTTGACATTAAACGGCATCCACGTGAGTGGCTACAATACCTCAAGAAAGTGGAGGTGATTCTTCCCAATAGGACTAGCTCCCTATTCCAAACTGCACCTTCCCAACTGCACTGCAGTCTTCTCATTTTACTGAACCACCATGGTATGCCATGAGAGGCCATAACTCTGCATGGGAGATGTAGTCCATGTAGGAAGTCTAGCCGATAGAAGAGAATGGAACGCCAACTACAACTCCTATAAGGCAACGGTTTGAGAAACTGGAATGAAATGTTTCCAAACTGAAAATTTTCAATTTCAGATTAAAACAACAGTCTAAAGATCAGAATTTCCCACAGGATGGAAATTCCAATTTCTAATGAGCTCTGGTCAGGACAGGGTGTTCTGCTCATCCCCAAGATGGGAGGGAATTGGTTTCTCTTACTGCCCCATTCTCTTCCCACAGGCCATCCAGATCTTGATTGGGCTGATACACATCGGCTTTGGAGGTGTCTCTACAATTTTCATTAAATACATTTACGTCTCTGGCATCGTGGGGTACCCGTTCTGGGGAGGAATTTTTGTGAGTAGAATAATTGAAAGCGTTTATGAAATGATGGCATGGCCACATGGATAAATAATAATTGTCTATTATTAAAGCTGTAAATGGACACAAATCAGACATCGCTATGTAAAAGAATAAATGGGCTCAAATCAGACATCAGGAATGGTAACATACAAAAGCCAGTAGGAGAACATTTCAATCTCCCTGGACATTCTATAACAGATTTAAAAGTAGCCATACTTCAACAAAAAAAACTTCAAAAAGAGACTTCAAAGAGAAACTTCAGAGCTACAATTCATTTGCAAATTTAACACCATTAATTTGGGCTTGAATAGGGACTGGGACTGGCTGGCTCACTACAAAAGCAATTTTCCCTCTCTTGGTATTGACACCTCCTCATCAATTATTGGGAGTGGACCACATCCACCCTGATTGAATTGGCCCTGTCAACACTGGTTCTCAACTTGTAAGGTAACTCCCTTCTCTTCATGTGTCAGTATATTTATGCCTGCATCTGTAATTTTCACTCCACGCATCTGAAGAAGTGGGTTTTTTACCCACGAAAGCTTATGTCTAAATAAATCTGTTAGTCTTTAAGGTGCCACCGGACTCCTCATTGTTTTTGTGGATACAGACTAACATGGCTACCCCTCTGATACTTGATAAGTAACAGACACTTAGTAACCCCCTTCTAAAAGCAACCAACAAAAGGAAAGAGGCAGTGTGTGCTCAGCTCAGGAACCTGCAGCAGATGTCACTCCCACGTAGGGTGACCAGACGTCCCAATTTTATCGGGACTGTCCCGATATTTCCTTGTTTGTCCCGCGTCCCGACCGACATGCAGTCGGGACACTGGACAAACAAGGAAATGCGCCGGAGCCTGGAGCCCGGAAGTACTCGCACCCACCCACCCTGCGGGACCCGAGCGGGACGGGGGGGGCTGGGGCCTGCTGCCCCCACTCCGGGGCCGCCGCG